GGGGGGGGGGGGGGGCAGGAGGGCAATTTGCCCCAGGCTCCAACCTTAAAGGTCCACACAGACCGAACGCGATTCGACAACGCGACGCGAATTTTCAGTTTTTAAAAACCTGAAATAAAACCGTCAACGGATGAAAATTTTACAAGATATGCAGACCAAATAGCTAAGATTGCTTAAGTGGTTCCGAACATTTGAAAAACATAGAAAAATAGCAAAGTTAAAGGTCATTGAAAATTGAAAATTCGCGTTGCCAAATCGCGTCCGGTCTGTATGCGCCTTAATAGGACCCCAACTTGAGAACGAGAGCCTAGAATTGAGTAGGTTCTTTAAATTGGTCAGAGCATTTTTGAAATTGAGGGCCCCTTACAGTAGCTCCACATGCAGTCTAGCTAAGGTCTAGTTGGGTGACCAATCAAAAGGCTATCTCGTACGGTAATGTAGTTTACGAGATGATTCCAAAATTGAAATAAGAGTTTGCGTTAGTATTAGGGTTAGTGTGGGGGTTAGGATTAGAGTTAGGTGTAGGGTTAGAACTCGATTTCACGTATTTTAGAACGAGTTTTGAAGAAAAGTTACTACCACAAAAAGCCATTTTTAAGTTAGGCGACTTGTTCGATCGAAAAAATATTTTTGTAAAACACTGTACTGTACACATAAATACAACAGAAAAATAGCACGATGTCTTCGTTTTGAAGTGGAAATTATATTGTAATAAAAACAATGAACTTTGACTCTTTTTACTGGAGTTAGGATTCTAGATAGGGAAGACCACAACTTGACTTCCTTATTCAATAATTATTCAAAAATCGTCCCACAGTATTGACAGCTGGTATTTACATAGTTACTTGTTGAAGCACTCTGTAGGGGTTCAAGTTAATTCTTCATGCGATTCATTTAAAACAGTATTAACAATAACGGGAACAAAACTGTTATGAAGTAGAGATGGCAAACGTTTGACTACGAAATTCATTTACATGTGTACATATACAGACCATTTTTGCAACATAGATAACAGAACTTATATTTAAAAGTCATGTCCAAGTTTTCATTAAAGTTATTTTTTAGAGGGAATCGATGTTCCCCCACATATTTATCGCTTTCTGTTCAGTTTTAACAATACATGCATAAATTTAGTGTCGACTGGCTAACTGCATGAAACACGAATTTTCGTGTTTTTCTTTTGTGTTTTACAATGATATTGCAAGAAATTTGGGAGGGTTGCTTCATTTAGTCATTGGCCTTGTAAGAGTAAACACTTATGACCGTCGAAAAGGTTAAAAATGACGTTGTCTTTGAGATCTGGGAGCGTTTACGCTGTTTTCCTGTTGATGGCTGTACAATTGTTCATATTTACATACGCTGAGGTAACACATTATAAATATACCCTATATTTTACATATACGTAGGCTATTACGAAACGAATACGTGCATGCATATATAGCGTTTGCCAAATTAAATGTTTGACCCAAAACATGCAGTAAATTCACCAACACTAACCCCTCTGGCCCTCTTCCTGATAGGGGGATCAAGCGTGTTCTAAATAGATCTTATTTTAGCGACTGAGCTCAAACAACGAGCTATGGTTATTTGCATTCGGTTCGGTACACAACATAACTTTTGAAATAGATCTTAATTGTTCTTTCTCTTCTTTCGTCAGTTGCCTGTTTGTTCCAAATCAAAAGAAGGAAACCAAACCTTGTATCGCAAGGTGTCAGGAGATGACGGAGTTTTGATCTGCATAAAAAACAACGGAAGATATGTGTGGAGATTTCTGGATGGTAAGATTAACTAGAATCTTTAGGGGGAAATGGGCATACAACCCCTCCCATGCAGTGGCGTGCTGGATACTATTTTTCTGGGGGGGCCAGTGGGCTATCAACCAATATGCGCCCCTATAATGTGACGCTTGATAAACGAGGGCCGAAGGCACGAGCCGAGCGCCGCAGGTGCGAGGTGTTCCTAGGGGGGTCCGGGGGCATGGCCCCCCGGAAAATTTTTAAATTTAGAGTCTCTGAAATGCCATTTCCTGGACTTTGGGGGGAAGATTTGACAGAAATCTGATGGTCAGGAAACGAGATTATAACGAGTCGAAATTTGCAATTTGGTTAGAATTTCCGTAGAGGAACTTAAATTGGTACGGTATCAGTTTTACTATAAATCTTTATTTTAGATTAATTGTGGAGGAACAAAGTCATTCGTTGAGTATATTTGTATAAAATATTTTGATTTATAATAAACGCCGATCTCACTAATAACTTGTAATGTTTTACTAAAACGGTGTGCTTGCACTTTATTCATACGAATCTGTCATGTTTTTTGTCAAAACATACAAAAAGAGTTTTAAAA